CAAATATGTTCGAGGTTCTTGAAGGTATTGGGGATCCAGAAGGTGTTAAAACTGATGTAAAGGAGCAAGCAATATCCAAACAACTTGTTCCCATGCCCAGCAATGAAAAGGGAGGACAAGACAGTGGTAATTTGGACAAAAATATGGGTGTTCGACAAAAGGACTCAACGACCAATTTAGGGGCTGAACTTATTGGCATCCAAACTCACAGTTCCAATGCACCTGTTCTGCATTTTGCCAGCCCCAATGTAGAACAAATAATCGAGGAAGCTCATAATGAAATGATAATGAAAGCTACCATGGTTACACAACCTTTGGTTACCTTGAACAAATCTGTATTTGATGTCCCCTCTCAGTTATTGTGTTCCTTTGGGGAATATGAAGGAGAATCTGGGCAGCCTATGGTGTCAACTGGGAATAACAATGAGGTAATACAAGCAAATGTTCGGATGATGGCTATCAAATCTAAGCTTTGGCAAGAACATCGTGAGGATGATGAAGAGGAGGATTGGGGTGATGGTTTCGCTGGATATTCATCAGAAGAGGCAGACGAAGAGGTTGATCATGATAGTGCAGGAGAGGAGAATCACTCAATGGCAATTAAAAAACATGATCAAGTGCCAGCAGCAAGTCCCAAGAGCAATCTGAACCTCAATGCTCCTGCTTTTATTCCCAAAAGTTACACAAAATCTGGTAAGCAAAATGCAGCAACAGGAGCTACTACAGTTACTGTGCAGCAGCAACAAATTGGTTCCAATCCTTCAAATACAAATCCTACTGGAGATCGAACAACAACAGCAACACCAAAAACTGGACAGCTCCCAGGTATAACAACCAGTACACATGCAACAACGTCTACAAAGAAAGATATTCCAGCTGCTACTCAAATACGTGATAGAGAAGACAAAGCAGTAAATTCTGGACATAATCAAATTGTTAAAACCAGTCCAGTTATTTCAGAGGAGGAGAGACAACTTTTGGATGCAATGGCGAGTTCTAATTCGTTAAATCCTGTAAATCTTACTGCCTTTAGCTCTGGGCCTGTGAGTAAGCGCAGGAACAAATTGCAAAAAATATAACTACATCAAAGCAAGACAATGGTGACAAAAACACAAGGACAATCTGCATTGGTGACACTTGATATGGTCCAAAATGTTCCACAACCAGTGCACTTGGGGAGAGAATTGTATGAAGAAGGAGAGGAAGATGCAATGTTGCAACAATGCAGGGAAGAGGCAGCAAGAAAAGGGGACTTATCACCTATGCATAGCGGAAAAAGTAAGAAGTCTCGTACAAGGGATAAAAGTTGGGACGGCAGAGTAAATGAAGATGCAAACATAAGGAGACTCCCAATGAGAAATGCAAAACAAAAATAGATCACTCAAACTACATCTACAAAGTCCAATCGTTCGAAGAAAAAAGCATGATTTTTGAAGACATTTTGAAAAGAGTGGTGGACGAAGACAAAAATCTACAAATTGAAGATTTCACAATATTAGAGAAAAGAGAGCACCATAGTGGTTTCTTCATCTTTTTATTCTATCATCACATTAGTATAGTTCTATGTAATATCATCACAGAGTATGTTATAAACTCTGTGATGATCATAGAATATTTAGTACTAGCTAGTTCGTTCTTTTTGCATGTTTGCTAGTAGGTGAGGCTTTTTATTTGCCTCAATAGGATTAGTAAGGTAAGGTTTAGCCTAGTCTGTGTTGCACTGGCCCGATGCCTTTGGAAAGATATCCAAGTGGCCATGAGATTATATGCCCTCGTGAGACTTTGCTGGCAGCTACACCATGATTCCTCTACATGAGGCTGCCATATGGGCATTGTGAGGCGCAGATGAGTGATTATATGGCCAAGGCATAGAGGCAACACTACTAGTGCTATTGTCCCCCTTATTTGTACTGCTCCTATGTTGTTCTTTTTTCTTTTTAGTTATTAATAAAACTAGCCCTAGGCACCTGCCTAGTGGATTTGCTAAAAAAAAAGCCTAAATTTGATACAAGACCTAAAAGACCTGCCGTCCACACTCAAGCTACCACCGAGAAAGGCTTACGGGAAAATCCAAGAGATTTGTTCAGCCCTAAAAGACCTGCCGTCCCTAGAGGTTTTGATCTCTATCCAACTCTCTTTTTCTTCAAAACAGATTTGTTTTCTTAAATTTTTGCTAACTTATTGGTGTTCGGATAATTTGATACTCTCCGTTTTCTCTATCAACAGAGAGCTTGTTGAGGCATCTCCAGTTTGAAGCTAACTTAAGTCTCATCTCCTTTACACTAAGTAAGATTCATGTTATACACTTATTTATTAATTTACTTATTTGTCAAGTAAAAGACAAATTGGAAATAAATTATTGGGGTGGACAAGAATCTTTTACCTTCTCTGGTGTTCTAATTTGTTGCCTAAAGTTCGAAATTGACCTCAGATATGCCATGGCATACAAAGTCTCATATCTGTTTTCCCTTATGTGTTTGAGCAATTCATTTTTGGTTAAGATTGCGGAGTCTTCATTCTTGAAGCAATTCTCATTAGATGTAATGACTTTAAAATTAGGAAGATGAAACAATCGACCCTTGAGATTCTCAAGTTGAGAACTTTGGTATGAATGCTTCTGCTTTCTGTTATCCATCTCTTAGTCGTTACTTTGAGTCAATAGAAAGTTAATATGACAAGCAAGAGCCTCACGATCTTATTTTGATTATAGATCTCAAAACCTTTTTATTCCATATGTGAGGTTCAAACCTTGACATCACATAGACAATATCAAGCATCTTCACATAAAGGCTTTCCCTCCTGTTGTAACAGAATCACAACATTTAAAAGCTCATGATGTGAAGATGTGGAAACATTATTTCCTCAAATAACCTAAAAAATCTCTTGCATCAGCGCTAAGGCAAAGAACAATAGGGAAGCAGGTCATGCGTCTTATTACTCTTTCTCGTCCTTGCGCATAGGTTCCCCAATCTGTCTTGCAGACATGAGCTACGAAAAGTTGCTGAGCAATCTGCAGAAGCTTTTTTTTGTCGTTAGCATTTACAGTTATATTTGCTATAAAATTTTGGTTTTCATATCTGTTTAGAATGACAAAGGTTTCTTGAAAATCTGTGTTACTAGGTGGTGTAGAAATATTTGGCCTGAAAATCTAAGCTACAACATTCTCTAACCTCTAGATCTCTTCAAATTATCTTCTGTCATAGACCATTTATGTCCTTCATTATGGTGTGCGTTTCATGAGGTTCTCTTGTTGGCACAATATTGAACCTTGTTATTTTTTGTTCTGGAAAATCTTTATCTTCAAGCACGTCAAGTTATATATAATTTTCGTTCCTTTCCTACATATTATTGAATAACAATATTTTAACAAGTATATTCACATGCCTTTGTTGCTTTCATTGAATCATGAATGAGATTTGAGTTGTCCATTTTTTCCTTAAATCTATGAATTCTACATGCTTAATTGTCAGACTAGTTTGGACTCTTTCCTCTGTTGATTTCTGATTCTGCTGCATGTTTCAATGAAAAGTTTAAGTGTGATTTGGTTTTAGTGATGAATTTAGCACCTATTTGTTGAAATCTACTTACGTGAAATGATCGAGTTAATATGGAAGATGACAGAACCAGGAATTTAACCACCAGTAGGTCAGAGTCATTTCTGGCAAAGTCAGTGCAACATTTTTTATCACAGTGTTGCAACGTGTATCTATTACATAACTCTTCATGTGAATATTAAATCATGTTACTGCACTGTTCTTTCTTCCTATTCGTTTTACATCCTGACTAACAATGTATTTTCCATAAAGGATGAAGATGGTGTTTTGCATGATTTGTAGTCTTTGTGTTCAATTCATCTCTATATTTTGTTATCTTAATTGTGCAATTGGATTTGTTTAGGTTCTGATTTTAGTGATTTTTCGTTCGTTTGTATAAAGAGCTATGTTAACAAGTCAACGTTTGTATAAAGAGCTCTGTTAAAACAGAGGTTTAATTAACAGAGAGGTCTCCCCTTTAAGTAGTTGTTAGTTTGCTTGTTTGTTCTTTATGTTTTTTTTTTGAGTTGGTGGTGGTGATTTATCAGCTCCACAATCATTTAATAAATTGGTATTTGAATTATAAAAATACTGCAAAAAGTAATAAGTAGAGGGCTAATCATAATTAGGAAAGAAATATTTACTTAAATGCAAAGAGTTGATACCTCTCTTTTCATCAGATGCTCAGTTACTATGTAAATGGAAATATCAACATGATTCTCTTTTTTATGATGATTTTTATCACTGTTGACAACAAGTCAGCTGCTTACTATATCATATTTAGGCAATGTCAAGATAATTGGATAAGCATGATATGAGAAGTTCCTCTGTTAGAATGCATTTAACTTTTCAGTATTATCACATGTATGCTACTTTAGCACATTAGTTGGTCTCGCCATTACTATCATTGTCATAGTTTGCATCTCTTTCTTTTTGTGCAGTAGAGAAAGCTTTAGATTAAGTGACATAATTATGTATCTCCAGTAATTCCTGAAATTTGTTATTTAGATCTTAATTTTTATGATTTGCATTTGTGACCCATAGGGGATTTAATATTCAATGGATAATGGAGATAAAAGTTGGATGGGTCTCCGAAAATCCACAGATGAGTATATTCGCGGAGTGAATAATTTTCTTGATAAGGCATTTGAACGGGCTTCCCAAGGCAATGAAATATTATGTCCTTGCAAAAAATGCGCTAATTGTTATTGGCGTGTTAGAAATGTGGTAGAGGATCACTTGGTTGGTTACGGATTTATCAAGGATACACCAAATGAATTTTCCACGGGGAATAGATTTCCTCGAGAAATAATCCACATCCAAGCAATGGTGATGAAGGTCCCAACATGCATGATGATATTGATGGACTACTTCATGACACTTTTAGAAATGTTGAGGGTGACATGAGGCATGAAGAAGGTGTGCGAGAGGGACCATCTGAAGATGCAAAGAGATTTTTTTTAATTAATGGAGGAAGGAAAACAAGAGTCATATCCGGGGTGTGAGAATTTTTCTAAACTGAGTTTCACCATTCGATTGTACTTAATCAAATGCATTCATGGCTTGAGTAATGTGGCTTTTTCAGACTTGTTAGACTGGTTAAAAGAGGCATTTCCATTTGCTAAGCTACCCGAGTCTTTTTACAAGGCAAAAAATATGATAAAAGATTTGGGTATTCATTATGAAAACATACATGCGTGCCCTAATGATTGCATGCTTTTTTGGAATGAAAATGAGAAGAATGATAATTGCTCTGTATGTGGAACTTCTAGATGGAAGAATGTTGTCGATGGCGTGACTAATGCAAGCTCCAAAATCCCTGCAAAGGTTTTAAGGTACTTTCCCTTAAAGCCTAGGCTTCTGAGGATATTCATGTGCTCTGAAACAGCTGCAGCTATGAGATGGCATGCTACTGAACGACCCAATGATGGGAATTTAAGACATCCTGCTGATAGGGAAGCGTGGAAGAATTTTGATTTATTTCACAAGGATTTCTCTCGGGATCCTCGTAATGTTAGAATGGGTCTTTCAAGTGATGGTTTTAACCCGTTTCGAACCATGAGCATTTCCCATATCACATGGCCTGTTATGCTAATGAACTATAATTTATCACCATGGATTTGCATGAAGCCGGAGTATATAATGCTGTCAATGATCATTCCAGGTCCTTCTTCACCAAGAAATGATATAGATGTGTACTTATAACCACTAATTGCTGAGTTGAAGGAACTGTGGGAAACAGGGGTAGAAACATATGATGCTAAATCTGACCAAACGTTTCAAATGCGTGCAGCCTTGTTGTGGACGATTAGTGATTTTCCAGCACTAGCAATGCTCTCCGGATGGAGCACCAAAGGGAGACTGGCATGCCCGGCTTGTAATTATGGCACATGCTCTCAGTATCTCAAACATAGTCGTAAGATGTGTTACTTGGATCATCGGACATTTTTGCCTCCTGATCATCCATTTCGAAGAGATAAGAAATCATTTGATGGTAAAGAGTGTCACCACCCTAAACCCAGACCTAGTCGTGATGGCGCCTCTCGTGAAGACAAGGCCAGCCGACACATTTCCAATTCGAAGTTAAACAGCTAAACAGCAATACAACAGGCTATAACATGATTTAATAATACTACACATCAGATAATATCATCACAATGCGGAAGTACAACCCAAACACAGCCCAAATCGGGGTGTCACTAGTCATGAGCATCTACTAAGTCTAAATACAACTGACAAAGTCTGGAATGTACTAAGTACAAACTAGTAAAATAAGGAGGGAGAAAAGCAGTGCTGCGAACGCCGGCAGCTACCTTGCTAAACTCCGATAACTCTGCCTCCGATCATCCAAAACCCGCTACCGGGTGTAGAATACCTGAATCTGCACACATGGTGCAGGGAGTAAAGTGAGTACTCCAACTCAGTGAGTAATAATCATAAATAAAGACTGAGTGATAAGAAATCTCGAAAAGAGCATCAACATGCTGTATAGAAGCAGTTTCGAAACCAGTAAGAAGGCAATCAAGCTGTAAAATCTCTTAAAACATCTTAGCTCAGTTTAAAAACTCTTTGAAAATGACTTTTTCAATAGTTACGCAAATGAATGCTGAACAACTAGTGCAGATAAGTATAGAAATCCGTCCCTCGGGCACAAATACACAATTAAGCAAGTAAATGACAGGCAAATAAGAAAGATAAACACATAAGGTTCGCCCCTCGGGCACAATATCAGCAACTCCGCCCCTCGGGCAATATCTCAGAACGGTACCAGCCCCTCGGGCAATCACATAGAACAAACCAGCCCCTCGGGCTACATCTCACATCACACTGGGTACCCGCGCTCACTGGGGGTGTGCAGACTCCTGGAGGGACCCCTTACGACCCAAGCGCAATAACAAGCCATCTCGTGGCATCATAAATAGGCTCTCGGCCTCATATCAATATCAAGCTACCTCGTGGCGTACAATCTCAGGCCCTCGGCCTCATAATCAAATCAGTGTATCACCGCTGCGGCGTGCAGCCCGATCCCAAAGATATATATCACCGCTGCGGCGTGCAGCCCAATCCCAAAGATATCCTCACAACACAGGCCCTCGGCCTTACTCAGTCAAAATCACATAAGCCTCTCGGGCAACAGTAAAACAGTATTTCTCAGCCCAAAACATCATTTAAATATCATTTGAGTATTAAAACAGAGTAAACATGGCTGAGTTTTGAAAACGGTGGAAATAACATGACTGAGTTCAAGTATAAAGTCAAAACAGTGAGGAAACATCAACAACAATCCCCGAAGGGTTCAAATAATTGGCACGGAGCCCAAATATGGCATTCAGCCCCAAATAATGATGATAACAAATAGATTTCAATCAAATACGCGGTAAAATCATCAATCGGGATGGACCAAGTCACAATCCCCAATAGTGCACGACCCCACGCTCGTCATTAAGCGTGTGCCTCACCTCAATATAGCACTACGATGTGCAATCCGGGGTTTCAAACACTCAGAACATCATTTACAATCATTACTCACCTCGAACCGGCTAAATCCCTAGCTCGCGACGCCTTTGCCCCTTGAATTGGCCTCCACACGCGTCGAATCTATCCAAAATCAGAACGGATACGTCACAATATGCTAAGGGAACAAAGCCCAAGCGAAAACAATCAAAAAATGCCAAAAATCCCGAAATTAGCAAAACCCGAGCCCCGGCCCACTTCTCGAAACTCAGAAATTTTCACATCAATAGAATCCTCATCCTCATACGAGTTCATACATATCAAGAACATCAATTCCGGCCACAAATGACCCTTCAAATCCCAAATCTAAAGTCCAAAATTCCAAGCCCTAGTTCTTCCATTTTTTGCTTAAGTTTCCATGATTTTCTAGGTAGATTTCACAATAGAATCGAGTTTTTAGTCCAAAAATCTTACCTCAAGTCGTTTCCCCTTGAAACCCTCTTTAGTCTCATTCAAAAAAACGCTCTCAAAATGATCAACTATGGGTGAAAATAGACCCAAAATCGCGGACAAGACGACTTAAAAACATTCTGCCCAGGTCTGACTTCCCTTCTTCGCGAACGCGGTCAGACCCTCACGTTCGCGAAGCACAAACTCGCATTGACCACATTTTACTCTACGTGAATGCGAAGAACAAAAGAACCTCAATCCCAAATTACTCTACGCGATCGCGGATACCCTCTCGCGAATGCGATGCACTGCATCCCAGCCTTCCGCGAACGCGAAGGCTAAATCCTGGCTTTCCTCAGTTCATTCTTCGCGAACGCGAAGAGATAAATCTCTGCAACACTGAACCTTAAATTTCTGCAACTTTTAAACTCCAAAAATGCCCCGAATGACCATCCGAAACTCACCCGAGGCTCCCGGGACCTCAACCAAAGGCACCAACACATCTTAAAACCTTATACAAACTTGCTCCAATCATCAAAACACCTCAAACAACATCAAATTACCCAAAACACATCGAATTCAAGCCTAAGTTTCTAAAAATCTTCCGAAATATGCTTTCGATCAAAAACCCAACCAAACCACGTCCGAATGACCTGAAATTTTGCACACACATCCCAAATGACACAACGGAGCTACTGCAACTTCTGGAATTCCATTCCGACCCCTATATAAAAATCTCACCTATCAACCGGAAAACGCCAAAAACTAACTTTCGCCAATTCAAGCCTAATTCTACACCGGACATCACAAAAATATTCCGGACACACTCCTAAGTCCTAAATCACCTAACGAAGCTATCCGAGCCATAAAATTTGCATTCCGAGGTCGTCTACCAATAAGTCAAAACTTGGTCAAACCTTTCAATTTCAAGCTTCAAACTGAGAACTGTTCTTCCAAATTCGTTCCAATTACCCTGAAAACCAAAACTAACAATTTAAATAAGTCATAATGCAACACACGGAGCAAGTCATGCCCGAGAACTGGCGAGCAAAGTGCAAAAACTCAAAACGACCGATCGGATCGTTACAAAGAGGATCACAAAACAACACCTACTCCCTTGTCAGGTGTAGATGTGTCAGAAGAATTGCGTGAATTTAATCATGTCTTTGGAAAGGGTCAAAAGAAATGGCACCGGGGTAATGAGGGTCCGTGGAAGAAAAAATCAATCTTTTTTGAATTGCCGTATTGGGCACATAACAGATTGAGACACAATCTTGATGTAATGCACATCGAGAAGAACATATGTGATAGTTTGCTTGGTACTTTATTGGATATGCCTAGAAAGTCAAAAGATCATGTAAATTCTCGCTATGACTTGGAAGAGATGGGGATACGAAAAGAGCTTCAACCATTAAAAGATAAGGATAATAAAAAAGTTTATTTGGCTAAAGCTTGTTTCTCCATGAAACCAGAAGAGAAAAAGCTGTTTTGCACTGTTTTAAAAAATATGAAATTACCAAAAGGGTGTGGGTCAAATATATCACAACGTGTGGAAGTGGAGGAAATGAAAGTATCAGGGTACTAGAGTCATGATGCTCATTTTATCATGCATTACTTGCTCCAGGTTGCAGTTAGAAAAGTGTTGCCCAAGAATGTTTCTGGGGGTGTACAGACTCCGGGAGGGGCTCCTTACAACCCAAGCGCTATAACAAGCCATCTCGTGGCATAATCAATCAGGCCCTCGGCCTCACATAACAACAAGCTAACTCGTGGCATAGATCAATCAGGCCCTCGGCCTCACAAAATATCACAATATCCTCACAACACAGGCCCTCGGCCTCACTCAGTCAGATCTCACTCAAGCCCCTTGGGCTGACAGTAAAACAAATACTCGGTTCAAAAAATAATTTATGAAATCAAACGGAGTGAATAAAATCGAGTTATGAAAACAGTAAGAACATAGAATGACTGAGTATAAACATCAAACCAAATAAGTGAGGAAAAACAGTAGTAAAAGTCCCTAAGGGTCCAAACGATTGGCACAAGTCCTAGACACATCATTTAGCCCCAAACACAATAATATTTTCCAAAATATAACAATATCAGATAGTTTTCAAGTAAAATACGCGACTTAATAGTCGTACGGGACAGACCAAGTCACAATCTCCAATGGTGCACGACCCTACGCTCATCACTTAGCGTGTGCATCACCTCAAAATAGCACCACGATGTGAAATCCGGGGTTCATTCCCTCAGGACAACATTTACAATCATTACTTACCTCAATCCGGTCCAAACTCTAGCCCGCGATGCCTTTGCCTCTCGAATCGGCCTCCAAATGCCTCGAATCTAACCAAAATCAGTTCATAACCATCAATATGTGCTAAAGGAGTGAAACCCATATGAAATCAATCAAATTACAACACAAATCCCGAAATTGGCCAAACCTGAACCCCGGGCCCACGTCTCGGATTCCGACAAAAATCACAAAACTAGGATCCTTACACTCTCACGAGTTCATACATATCAAATACATCAAAATCCGACGACAAATGGCCCCTCAAATCCTCAAATCAAAGTCTCAAATTCCAAGCCCTAACTCCCTTATTTTAGGCTTAAGATTCCACAAATTTCTTGTTTAATTAGGTAGAAATCACAATAGGATCGAGTATTAAGTCCATAAATCTTACCTCCAAGTGTTTTCCTTTGATTCCCTCTTCAATTCTTCTCAAAAAGCTCCAAAACCGACTAAAAAATGGTGAACTATGGCCAAAAATTGCGAAAGTGGTCTTTTAAACATTGTGCCCAGCAATTTAAATCCCTTCTTCGCGAACGCGGTCAAAACCTCGCGTTCGCGAAGCACAAAATCACGTTGACCACTTAATCCTTCATCGCGAACAAGACATCCTGATCGCGAACGCGAAGCTTCAGCTCCTCAACCCATCGCGAACGCGACACCTAGCTCGCGAACGCGAAGCACAACGAACCTGGACCCAGCTGCTCCCATTTACTCTATGCGAACGCGGGACACTCATCGTATTCGCTATGAAAACTGCACCTAACCCTTCGCGAACGTGGGGCACCCATCGCGAACGCGAAGGCAAACCTCCTTCCTCACACCCTAACCCTTCGCGAACGCGAGAGGGCACTCGCGAACGCGAAGGCCAAATGTCTGCAACACCAACAACAGATTTTCTTTAACTTTTCCGACATGAATTTGATCCGTCCAACCACCCGAAACTCACCCGAGGCCCTCGGGACCTCAACCAAATATGCCAACATATCCCATAACCTCATTCAAACTTGTTCCAACCTTCGGAATGCTCAAAACAACATCAAAACACCAAATTGACATCGGATTCAAGCCTAAGAATTCCAAAAACTTCCAAATTCCGCTTTCAATCAAAAAGTCTATCAAACCTCGTCCGAATGACCTAAAATTTTGCACACACATCATAAATGACACAACGGACCTACTCTAACTTCCGGAATTCCATTCCGACCCCTATATCAAAATCTCACCTATCAACCGGAAAACGCCAAAATTCCAATTTCGCCAATTCAAGCCTAAATCTACTCCGGACCTCCAAAACACATTCCGATCGTGCTCCTAAGTCCCAAATCACCTCCCGAAGCTATCCGAATCATCAGAATTCACATCCGATCCCTTTTTCACATAAGTCAACATCCGGTTGACTTTTCCAACCTAAGCTTACTCAAAAGAGACTAAGTGTCTCATTCCCTTCCAAAACCTCTCCGTACTCGAGCCAACCAACCCGATAACACATAATACAACTGAACAAGACAATAAGAAGCAGAAATGGGGGAAACGGAGCGATAACCCATGAAACGACCGGCTGGGTCGTTACATCCTCCCCCTCTTAAACAAACGTTCGTCCTCGACCGAGTCAAGAAACATACCTGAAGCCTCGAATAGGTGAGGATATCTGCTCCGCATCTCCCGCTCGGTCTCCCAGGTAGCCTCCTCCACGGGCCAACCTCTCCACTGCACTTTCACTGAAGCTATATCCTTCGACCTTAACTTTCGAACCTGATGCTCCAAAATAGCTGCTGGCTCCACATCATAGGTCAAATCACCCTCTAACTGAACCGTGCTGAAATCCAGAACATGAGACGGATCCCCAATGTACTTCCGGAGCATAGAAACATGAAACACCGGATGCACACTCGACAAGCTGGGTTGTAAAACAAGCTCATAAGCCACCTCCCCAATCCTCCGAAGCACCTCAAAAGGCCCAATGAACCAAGGACTCAATTTACCCTTCTTCCCAAATCTCATAACACCCTTCATGGGTGAAACCTTCAGTAGAACCTTCTCCCCAACCATATAGGACACATCACGAACCTTCCTATCGGCATAAATCTTTCTCACCTTGTTCAAAGCATCCTGCACTAAGTCCGTACCCAAAAGCCTGGCCTCACCCAGCTCGAACCATCCAACCGGAGATCTACACCGCCTCCCATATAAAGCCTCATATGGAGCCATCTGAATGCTCGACTGGTAGCTGTTGTTATAAGCAAACTCCGCGAGCGGTAGAAACTGATCCCATGAACCACCAAAGTCAATCACACAATCGTGCAACATGTCCTCCAATATCTGAATAGTGCGCTCGGACTGCCCGTCCGTCTGAGGGTGAAAAGTTGTGCTCAACTCGACCTGAGTACCTAAGTCTCTCTGCACGGCCCTCCAAAACTGCAAAGTAAACTGAGTGCCTCTATCTGAAATGATGGAAACTGGGACACCATGCAAGCGAACAACCTCTCGGATATTGATCTCTACCCGCTCTGAAGAATAGGTAGTACAAATAGGAATGAAGTGCGCGGACTTGGTCTGCCGATCCACAACCACCCAAATAGCGTTGAACTTCTTCAAAGTCCGTGGGAGCCTAACTACAAAGTCCATGGTGATCCACTCCCACTTCCACTCTAGAATATCCATCTGCTAAAGCAAGCCACCCGGTCTCTGATGCTCATATTTCACCTGCTGACAATTGAGACACCCAGCTACAAATCCCACAATGTCCTTCTTCATTCTCCTCCACCAATAATATTGTCTCAGATCCTGATACATCTTCACAGCACCCGGATGAATGGAATACCGCGAGCTATGGACCTCCTCCAGAATCAACTCCCGAAGCCCATCCACATTGGGCAAACAAATCCGGCCCTGCATCCTCAACAACCCATAATCACCAATGGTCACATCTCTAGCAGCGTTGTGCTGAACTCTATCCTTAAGGACAAGCAAATGAGGATCATCATACTGGCGCTCTCTGATGTGATCCAACAAGGAAGACCGAGAAATCACACTAGCTAAGACCCGACTGAGCTCCGAAATATCCAATCTCACGAATCGATTGGCCAAGGTCTGAACATCAAGTGCTAGAGGTATCTCCCCAACAGGAATAATGCAAGACTGACCATACTCACCGCCTTTCGGCTCAGCATCAGCCACTACATTGGCCTTACCCGGGTGGTACAAAATAATAATGTCATAGTCCTTTAGTAGCTCCAACCATGTCCACTTCCTCAAATTGAGATCCTTCTGCTTGAACAAGTGCTGGAGGCTACGATGATCAGTAAACACCTCGCAAGACACACCATACAAATAATGCCTCCAAATCTTCAATGTGGGAACAATGGCAGCCAACTCAAGATCATGAATAGGGTAGTTCTTCTCATGGGGCTTCAAATGACGAGAAGCATAAGCAATAACTCTACCCTCCTGCATCAACGCACATCCAATACCCACTCTCGAAGCATCACAGTACACTGTATATGAACCTGAAACTGATGGCAAAACTAACAATGGAGCCGTGGTCAAAGCAGTCTTGAGCTTCTGGAACCTCGCCTCACACTCATCCGACCACTGAAATGGAGCACCCTTCTGAGTCAACTTGGTCAAGGGTGATGCAATAGATGAAAATCCCTGAACAAACCGACGGTAATAAACCGCCAAACCAAGAAAATTGCGAATCTCTGTGGCTGAGGACGGCCTAGGCCAACTCTGAACCGCCTCTATCTTCTTCGCATCAACCTGAATACCCTCGCTGGACACCACGTGCCCCAAGAAAGCCACTGAACTGAGCCAGAACTCACACTTGGAGAACTTTGCATAAAGCTTCTCCTCCCTCAATCTCTGCAATACCACTCTCAGATGCTCCGCGTGCTCCTCCTGACTACGCGAGTATACCAGAATATCATCAATGAAAACTATGACAAACGAGTCGAGATACGGCCGGAACACGCTGTTCATCAAATGCATGAACGATGCTGGGGCATTAGTCAGCCCAAAATACATCACAAGGAACTTATAGTGACCATATCGGGTCCTGAAAGCTGTCTTAAGAATATCTGAGTCCCTGATCTTCAGCTGGTGATACCCTGAACGGAGATCAATCTTGGAGAAAACCCTCGCTCCCTGAAGCTAGTCGAACAAATCATCAATGCGAGGCAGGGGATACTTGTTCTTAATTGTGACCTTGTTCAACTGCCTGTTGTCAATGCACATCGTCATAGTGCCATCCTTCTTCTTCACGAACAGAACAGGCGCACCCCACAGCG